TCTCCGCTGACCGCCCCTATCTCACACAAACTCCAGGGTTGATTTTGCCCAAGCCAGGTCACCGCAATGATGAGTTGGAGAGAGGTGACTTGGCGGAAGATGTGTGTGTGGCTGGCTTTGCTCACCTCCTTTGACCCACTCTAGTTCCAAGAGCTCCGCCTGTATGTCAAGTTTCGGTTGCAATTCACCACTAGCCTTGAACAAGCCTAGTGTGCTTAGGTGACTCCTCATCATCTGACAATGACGACTGCGAGCTCACAGATTCCTGGGTAGAGAACTTTGCAAAGGGTGTTCCTGGGAGTGACACTCAAGCTTGTGCTTCCCTGCGCTGTTGGATTTAGGGGGGTGGTTTTTGACGGGCGCCCAGTGGGTCCACTGTACTTTGGTTTCTTCTATTTTGCAGCGCAATCATCACCAAAAGTGGCCACTCATTGTGAATTTTACAGCTGAGGCATCAGCCAAGGATGTGATGTCAGGGGCAGTGAAGACTCAAAAGCTACTTGAACGGTATGGCCCCTGGGATGTGATACAATTGTAGATGTGATTTGCAAGTTTTTTTTCTCGGAGAACCTATGAATGCGATCCAAGGAATCTATGACCCTAATGTTGCAGAGATGGCAAAGGGCGGAATATATACCCAGAAGATCTGCAACGCCAGCAGAAACATCTTCCGCTACATCCACAAGAAAGGAAAGACCCTTCCAGTACCAATTTCATCGCTAATGGTGCCAGTTCGTGGAAAAAGTCGCTACAAGCATATAGAAGAAGTGCGGGCGTGGCCTATCCTCTACTTGTCATCTTGGTTCAGGACAGCTTTCCAACATCCTTATGATGGTTTCTTTTTACTTGGAGGCTACAAGATCAACCACTTGGATTCCATCAAGGGTATGCTGCGGCATTTTTTGGGAGCGCTACAAGGGGATAGACGACGTGTGCCCTCATGATCCAGAACTGACCATTCCATTTTTCCTTCATGGTGATGAGGGTCGAGGCCAATGCCATCGTCCTGTACTAGTTCTAGCTGCCCAGCCTATCATCGGTTGGAAGGGAGAGGAGTGTGTCACATCTACCCAGTACCTTGTCGTATACTAGTGAAGGATTCGCATACTTCCCATCCCTCCTGGGCGCCAGCACCTCGCACTCGAGGCATACCTTCACAACGCGACTGCTTCTGACAGTCATCCCTGCGCAGCATTACGCAGCCAACGGTGCGACCATGCAAGCGGTGTTGCGGGCGGTGGTCGATGATTTCAACGAGCTAAGTCAGAATGGTGTGGAGGCATGTGAAACAAAATCGGTCCGATGAAAGGCTTTCCAGGTTGTGGTGCCCCTCCCCATTGAAACACCACACCACATTAATAGGATCTTTGGGGAGTTTGGGAAATGGTATTGACATGCCCCTTGCAGGTCACGTGCGGGGACGTCACCCAAAAGTTCTACATGCAGTTTTGTGGTACTAAGGGCGATTGGCCCTTTATCCGGAGCGCCTATAGGCTACAAAGTGGGTTCAGCTCTCGGCGTAAGTGCCACATTTGCCCAAGCAATGATTCCCAGCACGCAAGATTGATTGGCGCATGTCTTTGATAGATGTCGTCCCAATGGCAAAAACCATTTGCAAGTGTAACATTCCAGCTCTGCTGTGTTAAGGAATGGTGGGATCTTTCTTCAACCGGCCAAACGCGATCCTGGCCATCCAATGGTGTTGCGCCAAGCCCATATCATCGTGGTGCAAAATCACCCCTCCGTGACGTTCATTTGGCGGGGGACAACCCTAATTTCATCAAGGTGGACCTGGCAAATACCCTGGCCATAGCCGGGGTGTCAAAGGACCACTTAGCTTCGACCCTGGTCTTTGTAGCGGTGCGATGCCAACATTGGGGTGCTGGCCCTTTCCAAGTACAATTGGACAGGGCTTTTGGCTCCTTCTCTTTGTGGTGTGCAGCCCACAAAAAGTACACCACAATCCGGGAATTCGACAAAAGCGAACTCAAGATTACATCGTTACATGATCGAAAGTTGGCCATGTGTTTTCGTTTTTTGTGCCCAAACGTTCTAAAACCGGGCCCACGTCCCATGCATTTTTCTCCACCAGCCTTCACCGGCTCAGGCTGCAAGAGTTTCCACGGGGACTTGGCAAGGGATCGGACGCGGGTGTGGTCGGTGGATGGCTGGAAGCAGTTCTTGAGGAAATGAATGACGATTTTGCAAACATTCCGGATTCTCACAAGAATTAGTTGGATCAGCTAAAACTTTTCTATTGGGTTTGGATGGTGTTGAGAACCAAACTGCCTGGCTGGTCTGGTTGGGGGGGTGCAAGCTAGCTGAGGAAAGCTGTCGAGACTTGTTTCGAATCGTGCGATGGGGCCACATCAGCATTTCCAAGTTCCTGAGAATCATCTACAAGGGAAAGCTGTGGCTGACACCTTTGCAAGCGGCCGAAGCTGTTCAGAGCGGGTTCAATTTCTGTGCCCCTCCGCTGAACTCTTCCACACTTTTCCATCTTTTGTTTCACTGGGGATGGGGATGTTCCGTAAGAGTCGGAGATGTTCAGGTCTTATATCCATGCCTAGCTAAGGAAGCATATGGAGCTTGCGCTCAAATCAGCGCATCCAAAGGATGGGCGCTGTGGTACTTGCGCCCGAAGGTGCATATGTTCCAACATATATTGCACCCAGCCCGCACCAAGTCGAGTTCAACCTATAACCTTAGACCTTAGATCTATCCCGTGAAATGGTGGTGGGCCCTTCCCCAGTAAAATGGTACACTGCATCCATCTGGAGGCTACAAATGCAATATCAGCTGGAGCAATCTGCAGCGTGGGTTCTGAATCCACACTGTCACTTGGCCGGTATACATGCACATCAACCCGGTAGCAGCTGATGTTCCGATTCAATCCGATTCAGTTTGTTTGGAACACGCTTGAACTTAGGCACAAGTTGCTGGGCTGATGAAGATTACATCGGCAAGACGGCCCGTGTATGCAGAAAGGTTCACGGAATAGAGTTACCAATTCAAACAATTCGCAAGTGCCTAATTCACTACCGAGTGGAGTGGCGCAAAGCTTGTGCCAACTGAGTCAACTGAGTCTCCCGGCTCACAGATCGACCAATCTTGTCCAGCTCGTGTGTGGAAACATGTGTGCTGATGGCAGGCCCGATGGGTTTGGATTGGTTGGGTGGGCTTTGTTGTGGTACGAGCGTTCTTTTTTTACTTCGAGCGCTCTTTGGTAAAACGAGCGTTCTATCCTACGTACACTTATTTTTGTACTTTTGATTCTCCAGGT